CCTTTTGTATTTCTTACAGTGAAATCTTCAGGTGGGAAGTCCTTTTGTTGTACATCTGAAATGTCATCAGTTTTAACTTTCCCAGGCTGTTTTGTGTAGGCGGATTTTTCTGTCCTGCCATCTAGCTCCTAAGTCATGACACAGAGACTTATATTAATTATGAAAACTCGGCTGATATCTTAGACTTGTCCCACTAGCTCTTATAACTTAAATTAACCCATTTCCGTTCATGTACTTGTTGCCATGTGACTCATGGCATTTACCTGTCCTCTTGCATATCTTGTTCCCTCTGTGTCTTGCTGTCCTGCCTATGCTTTCCTGCCTAGCTGATGACCATGTCATTTTTTATTAAACTAATAAGACAGTGCCTTGGCAAAGACACATCTTAACAGTATACAAAAAGATTGTTCTACAGCATTTCCCCCTTTTTGTCTGATATAAAAGAAAGGATTTAACTCTGACATAGTAAAACTATGTAAAATAAGAACAATTATCAGGTAAGGATTACACTCACAAAGTCCAGTCCTTTTTTTATTTTGTAATTTGGGAGAAAATACTCCATTATTCATTCTATTTTAGTGAGTCCAAAGTTCTTTAACTGATTTGCCTTTTATCATTACTAAGGAAAACTATAACTGTCTTGTCTTTAACTCCATCAAAGACCCCAGAAGGATATAATATTATCTGAATAAACAGTAAATAAATAAAAGTTCAGTGTAAACCACTTCCAAAATGACAGAGACATCTGGCTGCCTGGACAGTACCCAAAATTTCTCTATAACATTAGGGTGCTATGAGAAATGCTCTTGTACCCTGTAAATATTTGTCACTTGTATTGGTTTAATGAAACACTGATTGACCAGTAGCCAGGCAGGAAGTATAAGTGGAGAAACCAGACTAGGAGAATTATGAGAAGAGGAAAGGCTCACTCTGCAGTCACCAGCTAGACACGGAGGAAGCAAGGTAAGCTTCACTGATAAAAGGTACCAAGCCATACAGCTAACCATAGGTAAGAATTATGGGTTAATTTAAGTTGTAAGAGCTAGTTAATAAGCCTGAGCTAATAGGCCAAACCATTTATAATTAACATAAGCTTCTGTGTTTCTTTGGAACTGAATGGCTGTGGGACCAGGTGGAACAGAAACTTCATCTACATTAGGGCATCTATCTTTGACTTTTTATATCTTTGGTTTATAATATCTGAGAGACCTTTATTTGAAGCAGAAATTTTTGAAGGACTGATATACCCTGTCTTGGCAAAGTTGGCAGTTTTTTTCTTTGTGTCCTGCCAGTACAGCTTGGATAGCATACTGTTAGCAGCCAAGGCAAGGGCAGTTTCTTGCTCAAATCACTAGCTTTTGTTACAAAGAAAGAAAACTCCATATGGAGGTTCTTTAATACCCATTATTCTTTTTGAAATAAATTGGTGCTACCATAATTAGATGTGTCTCACTGTCATGAAAAGCCTTATGTTATTAAAGCATTTTAAATGCCAGATTTTATAGGTCTTTGAAGTGTTTGAAGATCACCTATCTGTCTAAAATATATCTCTATACGGCCATGAAAACATACCTAACATGACTATAGTTTTGATTGTTATAGATGACTATTAACCTGTATTTCTTTATTATTCTAAATAGTTTTTAAGGACTAAAACTTTATGTTACATTTTTTAAATAGTTATCCAGGTACAATACCTTAAACAAGAATAGAAACATATATACAGTAAAACAAAAATAACTTTAAATTTGTATCAGTATACCAAAATCCATACCAATGTAAAGTATGTGAGACTATTGGTTGTTCAAAAGTAAACTCAATAATCCACCCTTTTGTTCTATCATTTTTATACTATATCCACCTTTCTTCAGAAAGAGATCATTGAATTTAATTCTTTTGTTTAGCATTTTTCTTGACCATGACCAATAACAATTTGTAACCAACCCTCCAAAATGATGACAAGCATCTATAATCCATTGAATGACCAAAAACCACCCACCCACCTCTTGGGAATGTGGGCGTTGTGTTCTGTAGACTGTTTATTATTGTCTGAGGGCACTAGCATCTTTAAGAAGCCCTGGAAAAATTGGGATAATGGTCAAGTCCTGGGGTAAGTTAGCTATATTATTTGTTGTCCAGTCTTTGTGCAACAGGAAAGTGTAAGGTTTATCTGAGTCCTGAGTAGAGTACTCTGTGAGTCTTGACCATCTCAATCAAAAGCTTTGAAGTTGTTCTGGATGCAGAACTCTGAGGAACGTTCAACAGAGGCACTATGAGAGGCTCAATCACCAGGGCCCCCCGTTTTCATTGGTGTCTAGTCCCCATGTTCTGAAAACACATAAACTTTTAAAGGTAACATGCATATCTGCATTAACACAAGTATGGAATGTGTAGTGTGCACAAGGCAGTTAAAGATGACTTTTTGTTTTATGTTTGAGCAGGTAAAAGACAACTGTAAACTTTATAAGTGTGTTTGAACTGTATAATTAAACTAATATGTATCTCTGTCATGTCATATGAAAAGATGGCATGTAATAATAAGTCATGAGGACTCTGTAGCTAATAAAATTTATCATGTCTCATCTTATCTCATTGCTGTTCCCATGTCAAGCAATCAGTTCCCATGTCAAGTTACACATCATCTGCCCTGTAGTCTTTCCCAAGGCAACACATTATCTAACTTTAATTTTGAAGTTAAGATATTTTTAAAATATATAGGCTGGTTTAATTTAGCGGTTTCTATAATTCAGTGTCTTTCAGCATCTATTATTTTATGTACTTGTGCATTTAAAAATTTGAAGTTAACAAGACACCATATAGGATCCAGACTCCCTGTGTATTTTTAATCCTTATGTGACTTAGTTTTTAATTTTACTCTACTCTTTCTTTGAAAATTTTACTTCATTTTTTAAACTATTTTTTCTATGAATGTCTATACCCTTTTTATCTTAAGCCTATACACATTGTTATATATACTATAATCTGTTTAGAGGGTTTTTTCCCATCTGAACCAGCTTTACTGCTTATTTGTTACCTTTTTTGTCTACCTGAGCAAAACCTTAAACCTGCCTCATGGCTTAGCTCTTGGTGCACTGGCAGCTCAAGCACACTGGCACCTTCAGGAGACATGTCTCTGTACTACAGCCAGCATGAGGGACACAAGACCAGGAAGTCATGTTTGGCTCCATTTCTGTGTGTTTAGAAACTCTTTTTAAGCTTTCTCGGGTCTTATGTGGATATATGTGACTGGACATTGGTCACCATATGTAGGTGGATTTTTCTGTCCCTCCTGGCAGCTACCAAATCACAACACAAATACTTCTTATTATAAAAACTTAGCCATAGTTTAGGCTTGTTACTAACTAGCTCTTACAACCTAAATTAACCTGTATCTTTTAATCTGTATTCTTTTATGTGGCTCAGTTACCTTTACTCTGTATTCCACATGTTGCTTTCTCTCTATCTGGCTGACAATTCAGCCTTTCTTCCAGTGTTCTCTCTATACCGAGAATCCCGCCTACCTATTGGCCATTCTGAGTAACACATCCTCACAGTATACAAAAAAGATTATTCCACAAGTCTTTCACTGGTTTGGGAATCTAGACTGCTTTCTATTTAGTACAGGATGATGCTGTTCTGTAGTCACCTGCATTTTCGCCACAGGGAGTCTGCTGCAATTCTGGCTTTGCGCCGCAATCCACCCTCCCACCTTCATGCTAGTTTTTAGTAGTTTGCTTTTGTTGAGCTTCAGTTAAGTTTTTCCCCTATTTCTCTTACAAGTAGTATGTTGACCTTCTTGTATCCATAGGTTTATAGTTTTCATCGGATTTGAAATTGTAGCTATAAAGTTTTTTAAGTCCTCCTCCCCATTCATTAAGCTGTCTGATGTTGTCCTACCACTCTCCTTCCAAGTCCTCTTCCTCTGCTCTGTCTTTAGCTGTTGTTTTGTGGGATTTATTGGCAGGGTCTTGAGATGTAGTGCAGGCTGGCCTTGAACTTTTGATTCTCTCACTCAGCCTTTCAAGTGCTAGGATTATGTGTATGTACTGCTATGCCTGACTTCTTGGTTTTATATTGGAGGCAGATCCTGCCTTCTGGTCTTGCACAGCCAACACTGTTGTCTTCTTCCTTCAGCTCCAGGGCATTACCAGTAAATCCGCAGGGTGAGCACCACTGGCCGAATGCTGATCATTTCTTTTTTCAAACATTTCACATTCTTTATCCCCTCCCCGTGTTTCATCTGTCGCTCTATTTTGATTTGATAGTTCTCCTTAATAACTATTTGTTGTATACATGTGTAGGTAGGAGATTATGTTCTAATACTATTTATCATTCCTCTTACTCTCCATTTTTCATTGCCATTAAAAATAAAATTGGAGCTGGAGAGATGGCTCAGCAGTCAAAACCATATAAACTCCTCTTGCAAATAATTCAGACTCAGTTCCTGCTCTGAATTGCAGCACCCATGTCAGGACACTTAGGCTGCCTGCAACTGCACTTTGAGGGAGGCTGATGCCTCTAGCCTTGCAGGCATCTGCTCTCATGTGCATGCACACCCCCAGCACACTTAAAAGAACGTCCTTTTAAATATTAAAAATAGGATCTAGAGTGGCGATTCCACAGTTAAGAGCATGCGCTGCTGTTGCAGAGGACCTGGGTTCAATTCTAGCACCACATGGCAGCTCAAGACCACCTGCAGTTCCAGTTTAATTGCCCTCCTCTGGAATCCGCAGCACTCATGTGGTGCACAAACATACATGCAGGCAAAACATTCACACCTATAAAATTTAAAAATAAATAATTTTAAAAATATTAAAATCAGAAGAGAAGGAAGAGAGGCAAGCAGAAATTAGTTGATACAAACCATCTGGGATCTGTTAACCCAAATCTTTCTGGAGGCAAGAAGAAACAAACCAGTGCATTCCTTTAAAAATAGAAATGAGTTGTGCACAGGGAAGAGAGGATGAGTGGGCTCATCTCAGACGTATTCTTACCCACAGACTGTGTGTCGCAGCGCTGTCTGTGAATAACTTCCGTGACAACCGGGAGGCCCTCTACGGTGTGTTTGATGGAGACCGGAATGTGGAGGTGCCCTACCTGCTCCAGTGTACCATGAGTGACATTTTGGCTGAAGAGCTTCAGAAAACAAAAAATGAAGACGAATACATGGTCAATACGTTCATAGTCATGCAAAGGTAAACAACTTCTAGTTCTTTTTTAATTATTGCTTGTTTATTCTGAGACATAGTCTCACTGCATAACCAGAGCCTCCTGCCCCAACTTCTTGAGTGCAGGGTTATAGTTTGTGTCACTGGGTCTGTATTCTCGCTCTTGTTAGAAAAGTTTGCTTAGTAATTTTGGTGTCCTTATGACTGACTGCTATAGCTGCTTTCACGCAAGGGATCGACTGCAGTTCGGTTTGAAATGTATTGATGTCATTCTTAAGTCACTTGTCTCTCAGAGAACTGGGCCTTACGGGCTTCTGTTGATTCCATATTTCATCATTTGTAACACACAGCTTCCCCCAAACCACAGGCTCCTTAGACCTTTCCATATGGTGTATGAACTTCTCTCAGGCATGGACCATTTCTATCTCAGTTTGTTGACCAATAGGAAATGTTTTCACTGGTTTAAAACTGAATGGGTCAAATCTAAGGGTAGTGTTAGTACATTCTTTACATGTTACCCAGTGTGGAAGAAGTGTTACAGACTCCTAAGCTGCTGCCTGTCACTTACACCTGCATCAGAGCTTTGGGTCAAATGCTATAAGGACTCCTCTCAAAAGAATTTTCAATCATCTGTCACCTTGAGGGCTTTATAGATTGTAAGGGAATTGCCTCACTGTGAATTCTACAGACCCTGCTCTTACAGGGTCTAAGGAGTCTAGTGCTACACGGTTAGAGCGGCATTGCTGCCTTCCTCTGCTTCCTCTCTTTATGTAAATCTGACAGAGATAATGGTTTCCTAACCAAGGCAGGCAGTATCTGCTGTGGAACAATGCCCTGAGTAGCCCTCACAAAGAACCATAACAGGCAGCTTTCTGGCTCTTGCTTCCAATGTACCCCATCTGCCAAGATTCCTACTGGGTCCAGACATCAATTGAGCACAAGTTTTACCAAGTTAACAAATATTGTTCTAATTACCTTATGTGCCCTGAATTTTTTGTAGTAGGATATGCATTGCCACTCTTCAGATCATGCTTATAAAACCAAAGTACATAGAGTTGAAGCAAAGTGCATTAAGGCCTAAAAGGCTCTGCATTCAGGATGCTGGCCCTCCAGTCCTGAGATCCCCATAGATGCTCCAGCCACCAGACACAGTAACTTTTCAGCTACCACCCTGTCCCATGACTGAAAACAAGTCATACACAGGCACACATATGTGTACACATATAGCACATACCATTTGTGTGCATGTACACACATATGTACATCCTATACATAACCCTCTAGCAGACTCTGGTCGCAAAAGCCCCTCCGTAGGAGGACCATCTTTATGTATTTGAAAGTAATGCTGCCTTAAAGTGTACACCGGTCAGATATAGCCATGGATGACTGGAAGCTAGAATTTAGAAATCTGTATACTAGGCCCACTTGCTGAGTCTTCTTGGTGACTTTTATTTATTAGTTAACAGGGTATAGGAGCAGTGAGCACTTCAGTCTTTAGAGTAACTGCCTATTTTTTGTGCCTTGTTGTCAAGGGCATATGGCTAGGCTATTACCAGGTGCTTAACTTAGTGCTTCAGGGTGGCAGTTTTTTGTTTTGTTTTATGACTGTCAAGGCTCATTATAGGAGCCTTGGAGGAATGACATTGGTGAGACCTGCAATCAGAGTTCTTTGTGCGTTTTGATGCATTTGTAGGACATGGGTTAATAGACAAATAGAAGGATAAAGCAAAAACACATGGTGGTTGATACCAGAATGCTGTCCCTGTATGTTTTATAGAATAAATAGTGCTGATCAAGAAATTATTGGCTATACAGGGCAATAACAGAGCCTTGCCCTGATGTTTCAGAAGGATGGTGCTTAGGGTTAGCCTGCAGTGCCTGCGTGGACTTCCTGTGTTTGTTCCTATTCTGATTTATGTGGGAACAGAGATGCTTTGGAGAAGTGAGTGGGGAGAGAATGTACTGCTGGGGCCACATAACTGATGCAGGGTAGCCGGCTGGACACAGCAGGCCAGGACTAGCAATGCAGGTTTTTAACAAAGCTGACACTTCCCTCCACATATGAGCAGATACATCTCTGTGTGAGTGTGTTTGCTGTCAGATTCCAGAGACCTTTTTCTTCTGAGAAGCCAAGTGGCTTTGGTGGAAAGGGTCGAGTCTAATCGCTGGTCCTGTGCACTGATGTAGTCCTTTTTTTATGAACAAAATGTGCTGAGGCATCTGAATGTTCACCCTTCTCTTTGGGTTCAGGAAGCTGGGAACTGCTGGGCAGAAACTTGGTGGTGCTGCCGTCCTGTGCCACATCAAGCATGACCCTGTGGACCTTGGAGGCTCCTTTACATTGACCTCTGCTAATGTTGGCAAGTGCCAAACGGTTCTCTGTCGAAATGGGAAGCCACTGCCTCTGTCCAGATCATACATCATGAGCTGTGAAGAAGAGCTGAAGAGAATTAAGCAGCATAAGGCCATCATCACTGAGGTGAGGAGGTTTTCCGCAGACTGCAGGGGCAACAGCCCCCTCTGGTGGAGGCTCCTCAGGAAATGTATGTCTTCAGAGGGCATTCAAAATTAGACATTCCCAAGTAAATTCCTTGGCGCTGTCTTTAGATTATTGTAGGATATCCCTATGGTTTATTATAGAACAGTAAAGCATTTGTCAGTTGCCATGGAAGCAGGAATACTTCCTAAATACTGTCCCAGTGGATTTCCAAAGGCTGGTTAGGTGGTTGAGAGCTTGACTCCTGAAATCACACTGCTCTGCTTGTTTGGTGTCTCAGCTTGAACACTCGCAGGATATGACCGCTAAACCCTAAGTCTTTGTTTTCTCATGTGCAAAGTGGGGGCCATACATACCTTCCTTACTTTATATAAACTGTAGTGTCTGTGACAGTGTAACTGTTTCTCTTTGGCCAGTTGAGTAATACAGTCCTTAGGGGACAGGACACAAGGCCTAGAGATGTATTTGATCATCAAAACTGGGGTACTGCTGCCACATAGCGAGTAAAGCTAGGTAGGTATATGAGTAGACAGCTTCCAGTGTGGACACAGTCTCACAACAGATTATCTGGTCCCAAATGGCAATAGTCCTGCTGATGAGAAGCCCTAGAATAACAGTGTATCATGAATCCTTGTCAGCAAAACTTCCAGAGTAGCTTCTGTGGCTCTTCATTTACTAATTCGCCAGCATGGTGGTCGGCCAACATGGAAATACCCAGAGATACGTATCTGCCCACAAGACCTAGCTTCCTCTTAGTGATCAAACTCCTACAACAATGCATAGCTTGGGGTTGAAGGGTGAAAGCTAGTGTCCAGAAGAGGAAAAGGAGGCTGTGTTGAGCACCCAAGAAAGACACAAGCCTGCCATAGACTACAGAAGTGAGTCCACATATAAGCTTAGTTCTTGTCTGTCCCAGTCGCTGAGGGTTAAAGGAGGTGCTGAGCACAAGCTAGGGAGCACCAGTCTAATATACAGAACATAGTGAACTGAGTGGCCACTGGTACAGGCCAGCTCTGAAGAGTAAGATGTCTGCTGCCTGGCTCACAGTTTGCAGGTCAGCCGTGTTTTCCCCCTTTATACACTGTTTCTCTTCTTCACTTTTATCTGCTCCACTGGGTCTTCAACAATGAGGACTTTTCACTTGGTTGCTTCTGTACCTTGAAGATGTTCTCAAAGCACACACTGATGAGAAACCTGAAGGGTGGCTACAGCAGCAAGGGCGATCTTGCCAGATCCCACAGCAGGCGCAGTGGATTTTATCACTAGAGTCGAGGGGATAAAAAACTACTTGAGAGACTGTTTACTCTTCTTAGTACCTATAACTGCCACCTTATTTTAAACATGGCTTGTGAGGTCATGTTCATGGGGAAAGGCACCCAAAAGCCCAGGTGGAGGCAGGTGGTGGGACTGAGGGACAAGGGCATTCTCTGGCAGAAGCTTGCTCATCCAGAGGCTCACAAAATTTGCATTTTTCATTGTGGAACTTTCTATGGGAAGAAGCATTAAAACTAGGACATAGGGTAGACATGGCTGTAGGCCTAAGACCCTCACACCTGGAAGGTCGAGAACGCAGCTGCTGCATGTAGCTGGGATTTAAAAGTGCTCCCCTTTTACCCAGGCAAATGGCCTGGATTTGGCTGCTGCTCTAAACAGCATGAGCCATCATGCTTAAAGGGCTCTTTGCTTTCTATGTTTGTCCTTGGAAGTTGGGTTCAAGGAAATCTTAAGAACAGGTACTTCTGCCAGGGTTACACAGAACAACTTTGTCTCAAAACAAAACTAACTAAATAAAAAGAACGAATGGGTAGTTCTGTTACCATCACCTTTCCAAATGTGTGTGATTTGTGACCCAGCTACAAACGTCTGGGTGCCACACACGACCCCTTCGCCTTTCCATGTGCTGGCTGTGCCATTAGACAAAGGCATGATGTTAAACCATCCCTTCCCCAGGTGCTGCTGTGGGTGACTTACCTTTTGAAAAGCTAGTGAGCATGCATGTAATGTGAAGCTGGACAGCAGTTTGTGTAGTGGCATTTCATTTGTGTTTACCTGAAGATCAGAGAGTAAAGCAGCCCCACTGGTCAGCCTTACAGACCAGGCTGTGGTGTCACACACCTGTAATCCCTTAGCCTCACTAGTTACCATAGAAACCAGGTGTTGCATGCATTTATTCCCAGTGATGCACGCCTTTAGTCTCAGCTCTAGAGATTAGAAGACGGGAGGAGACAGCTCTCAGTCACAGTCTCATTCTGAGATTCCTGAAGGCAGGATCGCCATTTTCAGACTGAAGTCGAGGTAAAAGCCAGTGACTGGCAGTTTTGCTTTTTGGAGCTTCAGGGAAGCTTTATTTATTAAAATACAAATAAAATGCCACTACAACTTGTCATGAAGAGGTATATGACCTAGTATAAATGTGGTCCCTATTAAAGGAATGGCTGAAATGCTTCCTTTCACCCTGGTGCTCCTTCCTAGCCCCGATCTACACTTTAACCACTCCATGTAGGGCCCCTTGCCTGACATGGCCAACTCTTCCCTGCAAAAGTTCCCTCTAATACTTCCCTTTGGCTGGGAGGGAGGCTGCTCAGTAGCCACGTGTGCTCTTTCCTTAACTATCTCTCTGGAAATTCTAGGATGGCAAGGTGAATGGAGTGACAGAGTCCACGCGCATCCTGGGCTACACCTTCCTCCACCCCAGCGTGGTGCCTCGCCCCCATGTGCAGTCAGTGCTTCTGACTCCACAGGATGAGTTTTTCATTCTGGGCAGTAAGGGACTGTGGGACAGCCTGTCCACTGAGGAGGCTGTGGAGGCCGTGCGCCATGTGCCAGATGCTCTGGCTGCTGCCAAGAAGCTGTGTACTCTGGCCCAGAGCTATGGCTGCCATGAAAGCATCAGCGCCGTAGTAGTGCAACTCAGTGTCACCGAGGACAGCTTCTGCTGCTGTGAGCTCAGTGCTGGAGGAAGCATGCCACCACCTAGTCCAGGCATCTTCCCAACATCCGTCAACATGGTGATAAAGGACCGCCCCTCTGATGGGCTGGGTGTGCCGTCCTCCAGCAGTGGCATGGCCTCTGAGATCAGCAGTGAACTCTCCACCTCTGAGATGAGCAGTGAGGTGGGCTCCACAGCCTCTGATGAGCCCCCATCTGGAGTCCTGAATGAGAACAGCCCCGCCTACCCCAGCGAGCAGCGCTGCATGCTCCACCCGGTCTGCCTGTCTAACTCCTTCCAACGTCAGCTGTCCAGCGCCACTTTCTCCAGCGCCTTCTCTGACAATGGCCTTGACAGTGATGATGAAGAACCCATTGAGGGTGTCTTCAGCAATGGCAGCCGGGTAGAGGTAGAGGTGGACATCCATTGCAGCCGGGCCAAGGAGAAGGAGAAACAACAGCATCTGCTTCAGGTGCCAGCTGAGGCCAGTGATGAGGGCATTGTCATCAGTGCCAACGAGGATGAGTCAGGTTTATCCAAGAAGGCAGACTTTTCTGCTGTGGGGACCATTGGGCGACGCAGGGCTAATGGCTCTGTAGCACCCCAGGAAAGGAGCCACAACGTAATAGAGGTCGCCACAGACGCACCTCTCCGAAAGCCGGGAGGCTATTTTGCAGCCCCAGCTCAGCCAGATCCGGATGATCAGTTTATCATACCCCCGGAGCTGGAAGAGGAAGTCAAAGAAATCATGAAACATCATCAGGAGCAGCAGCAGCAGCAGCTGCCACCACCACCACCCCAGCTGCCCCAGCCACAGCGGCAGTTCCAGGGGGACCACCTGCCAGACTGTTATGACACACCGCTATGACCCAGTCTGAGTCCTCTTTTAAACCATAAACTAACCAGAAGGACTGAGAGTCTCCCAGGATCACATTAAAGCAGGGTTACTCCCGCCCTTCTCCCAGACACTGCCCCACCTGTCTCTGCAGCTCGTCTGTAGGCTCTTTGTATTGTTACTTTAGTAATTACCACTTTTCTTCTAGTGACACTTTACCAATATGATTTAAATTTGTTAACTTTTTTCCCTAACATATCAAATATGTAAAGACAAAGAACAAAAGGTTTAATATATTACAGAGAAACAGTTAATGATAATGTAATTTTTAAAAATTACTTTTTGTTGTTTTATTTGGAAGGCAGGGCAAGTTGCCATTGCTAAATGACTTAATAATATTGTAATTGTGTATTTCTTTGTGGGGAAAGGCTTTTTTTTTGTCTTGAAAATGATAGACATTTGTAGAATATGGAGACTAACTCCTAGGAGTTGCTTTACTCTGTCAGGTGACATAAGTCACTGGGATTCACTAATTTTCTCTGAGAGAACAGTTGATTGAGAAATTTCTATTGTAAATAGCTCAGTGCTGCATAGTGATGCTTAAATTGTTTGTAGTCTTGGCGGAAGGACACAGTCTAAAGAACTGACTTCTGCCCCTTCTGAGGAGCCTTCCCTGTCCCATCTCCTCCTCATTCATCTTTGGTGTGGGCCATTTGGTCAACGTGTTCTGTGTAGATATGTGGTTCTGAGGTCACTGGACAAGAGCCTGCTCTTGGGAACCCCAGAACCTTTTGCAGACACTTTTTTCCCCTGAGATGGGCTTTCTCTGTAGCTTTGGAGCCTATCCTGGAACGAACTCTCGTAGACCAGGCTGGCCTCGAACTCACAGAGATCTGCCTGCTTCTGCCCTCCCGAGTGCTGAGATTAAAGGCGTGTGCTAGCACCACCCAGCTAACACTTTTTAATTGTGTTCCTTCCTGCTGCCACAATCAGCATGACTGTATAGAGTCCCTTAGATCATCTACACATCCAGAGTTATATTGAAGCAGAATGCACAAATGGACATGTCATAATTTTTGTTATAATAAATATGAAATTTACAAGCACTGGATCCATGAGCTTTTGTCTTAGCACCCAGGAATGTCTTACAGTCATACCAGCTTGCAATTGAAAGGAATATATGCAAGATTGAGATTCACCAACATTATGGATTGCAGTTTGTGTGTTTCCTTAATAGTCAACAAGTTTGACTGCAGAGAATGAGGTAGTAAAACTGACCTTCTGGTTAGCTGTGTACACAGCCGGTGTTATCCTTTTCCTCTTGCAGTGAAGACACTAAAGGGGGGCTGGTTGGAGATTGCATAGGGGAGAACTCATGGGAAGCGTCTATTCCTGCAGAACCAAGTTGGCTTTCAGTTCTTCCAGGAGATCATGTGAACGGGTAATGTACCTTTTATTGTGACTACAAAGCAAGAGCTGTATGTGGAAGACAGGCGGCTTCCGTTTCTGTCTCCCCTCCGGTCTGCCGGGAATAGTATTGAACTAACCCAGACCACTGACTGAGGCCACAGGAGAAGGGCTAGCTCCCTCCAGCACAGTGCTAGACCCAGTACTGAAGTTCTCTAGCCCTTCCATGCCTTATTCTGCACCACACCATGTGGGTCATGGGTCAGAGAAGCCACACACGTGTCTAGTTTTCCCAGTGCCTGACTTCCTGTCAAGCTGGGCTAGCTCTCCAGAGTCCCACTTTAGCAGAGTTCACATGTCACCTTTGTGGAAGAGGCCTAGACTTCAGTGTGGCTCCTCGGAGGGGCAGAGCCTGTGGAGGGGCAGAGCCTGTGGAGGGCTCAACAGAGTCAGTACTTGTGGACTACTCGATGGCACCAGAGGCAGCTTCCCACCAGGACCAGCAAAGGGATGTGGGAGAAAGCAACAAGACAGAGGTATGTGTGTTCCCCGGTTCCTTCCGTGCTTGCGTCTCTGTCCATTCTATCACTGAGACACTGCAAACACTGCATATGAAGAACTGTGGAGATATAAGTTCCCTTTGGGAACTTGGGATGCCTAGTACATGGAGAGGGTAAGTTTCTTCTGTTGCATCCTTGAAGGAACTAAAGAGGTACAGACTTACCAACAGGTAAGTCTCCATGCTTTTATGTAGGAGCCTCCCCGGTTAGTTCCTAGGAAGAATTTTTTCAATTCTTGTAACATGAGGGCTTTTCTCCCACACCAAATTCTGTTCACTAAGATACCTTCTAATAGTATATGTAAAACTGCTTATATAACTGAAGTGGGTTTTGATCTTTAAAGTATTTAATACTTAAAGACCCCTGAAGCCGTGACATCAGCACAGTGAGTATTAAGGAGAAAGAATTTCACTGAGGGGTGTATTCTCTGCTCAGTGAGGAAATCCAGACCACTGGGAAAGTTTGTGAAGGGGAAGAGGAACTGGGAACCGCATGGAAGCTCGAGTAAGGCTAATGACTTGCTATGGCCTGGACTCTGGTCCCTGTTGGATCAGCCACATGTTGCCAGATATTGGCCTCCAGACTTTCTGCCCTTCAACTTAGCCTGGCCCTGGTGAGGGGCTCCAGGCCAGTTTGGAGCCTGGGACCCTGGTTTGTTTTGCTTGCTTTTGTTATAGCACCATCTACTGGTAGGTTTAGCTTTGGGGGAGATATGAGCTCCATACTGCCGGAAGAAACTGTTTAACAGTTTTCTTCGACATGTAGTAGAAAGTAATTCTCACCTCTAAGTGTGGCAGTGATGCTGCATTAAATGCTAGTGAACCTTGTATCAGTTTCTGCTTTGTAAGGTGGTATCATTGGTGACCACTTAATTCCTATAATGGACAACTGTCCCATGGGAAATTAAAATACCAAGATGTAATCAGAATTATAGTTCTATCTAGCATTTGCCTAGCCCTGCAATCCCTGGGGCTAGGCAATAGAGCAAAACAGAAAGCTGCTGTGGTTTGCTTGAAATCTTATGGAGTAACATCTGTGATGTCACTGCTGGCCCTAACCCATGTTGTTGGGTTATGCTGACAGTCCTTGGACACTCATCAGAAGGTCTTTTGAATTCATCCCTGATGCAAAGCAGAAGAGTCTCCATAAAGGTGGGGATTGTACTGCCTGTAACTGCCTCCCCAGGGACCAGATCTGCCGCTCAGCAGAGCCTTATGTGTAAGAGTCATTACTTTTCCAGCATAGAGCAAGAGCACAACACAGTGCCTTCCTAAGTAACAAATGGGAGAAAAGACAGATTGTGGTGGGGAAAGGCTCTGTGTATTTCCTGTCATTGAGTACTATTTTGTTCTTCCAGTTCAGCTCCTTAATACCCATGTTGTACAAATGACCCTAGCAAATTGTTTTCATCAATGCCACTTATCTGGACTGTGTTGATATTGATAGATATGTTCGATATGTGTTTGAAAAATGCAGATAGCCCTAAAGTAGTTGTGATAGTTTTGTTTTGTTTTGTTTTTCCCTAACCCTTACCCTACCTGCTCTATCAATTAGAGCTAAGTTTACACTTAGGTCTGGTCAGTTTGGGGAAGGTAAGAGCTCTGCTTGCTCAGCCATGATGGAAAAGGAGGCCTCGAAGTCCCCCCATCTGATTTGCATGTTTACTCAGCCTTGATCAAGAACCTATCACTGGCTCAAAACCAGCACAGGACCTGAGTGAGGCACCTGGCTGAGATGTGATGATGGCTGCTGGTCTTGAGAGGCCATCAGGGTTTAAGCCAGCACACAAATGCCAGAAACCAGAATTATGCTCCCTCAGATGGCCCCTTTGCCTTCTAGAACACATTGAACACATCAAGAAGAAATGGGCAAGTGGCCCTCAAGTTTCTTTCTCTATTCTGGAACTTGCCCACCCTGAATTTATCCATAAGTAAGTACAGCATTCATTGCCCTTTGGTTCATTTTGTTCCAAGAGCACAATGCTCTTCCCTGTGTATAAGGACAAGCGACAGAGTGTGTGGAGAATGTTCTCGCTCCTTATAACTCGAATTACTCTTGTCATTCTTATTTTCTAAGGACAGGGAAGTGCTGCTTGCTTCACACTGAGATCTTTCACTTTCTGGTCTTCTGTCTTGTTCCTGTGAACTTGGACTTTCCTCTAATGGCTAAGTCTACCTGTTGAAAAGACTTGACTTTTTTTTCAATGTTGTATGTCCAGTCCTTGACCCTGTTTGAACTCATCCATACTCACTTCCAAGTCTTTAAGAAAACTGACTCCCAAATATGCCTGGAAGTGCCAAAACTAGCTTCAGATTAAGAGTCGCCTGTAAGCCAGGACTAAGCCAAGCAGTGTTCTTATTGGTCACCTTGAAATTGCCTGGCGCAAGTGAGAAGAAAATACAGAGCACGCAACAAACCCGCTTAGGAGTTTATTAGAGGGGGTGTGTACAGGCCTGGGAATCGGTGTGCACAGAGAGAAAGATGGCACATCCAGCATTTTATAAGCTGCTTAGCACATGCACATGGGGTTAGTGTCACTATGTCATACACAGATGACAGGCTCACATATGCGTGCAAGGGCTTAGCCGAGTCATAGTGGATATAACCATACATGCACACATGTGGGTCACACAGGACCCTTTAACATTTAAGCACTTTTGTGTGAGGGTGTGCACGACTCTAGAACCCAGAAGTACAGCCTTATTTGTGGCTGAATGATTACACTCCTGATCCAGCATACTTTTTTAGTGGCTACCTGTAGAGTGCCTCAGCAGATTATAAAATGTGCCATGCCCCCCAGGAGCAGCAGCATGCACTGGAGCAGCCACCTATCACAGGTAAACATGTGTCCTCTTTTCCTATCATGTCATCTGCATATACTGTTCACATTTGGTCCTCCAGTCATCAGTTGAAATTCTGTGGGACTCTGCAACCACCAGTGTCAGCAGAGTGTTGATGGCAAGAAGGAAATGTAGTTCAAAGCACAGTGTAATTTGGGAAAAAAGTTTCCTGGTGTAAGACAATCCCTTGAGTATGAGGAGACATTACATTGAAACTCAAAGTTCATGCCACTTCTTCCAAGAAGATCGGTTCTAGAGATAGGCTGCATGCATTAAAGGTGTAGAGAAGGATCTGGAGTGGTCTCTGTCAGACAGATAGTGAGGGGGTCATTTTGGCTGTTAGCCACCTCTGGTCCTGGTTGTGGGAGTTTAAGGGACCCTGCTTATACAGTTAATGAAAGGTCATCTAGACTATTAACTATCTCCAGACCTGGTTGTAGGGACTTGGGGGAGCCCCTGGTCATGTAGATAACACAGAAGTCACCTAGACTATTAACCGCCTCTAGTCCTGCTTGTGAAAACAGGTAAGGCCTGGCCCTCCAGACAATACAGATCACTGGGCTATTGATCAGTCAACTCCATTCTCAGCCTTCTGGGTGAAAAAGACAGCCCTCTGAGTTTAACTTTCCTGGTTTCCCTAGAGTGATCTGTGAATGAAGGGTGAAGCTTTTTACTCACAATAAAACTCCATCTTCAGTCTTCAGATTACAATTGGAGGGGTTTGTCATGTTTGTTCTGGCTTCCTTCCACATAACTAGAGACAAGACGAAATGTTGGAAAAAGAAAGGAAGCAATATAAGCGGCAATCCTGCTGATATGGACAAGAGCCATCTGCCTTTCTAGGCTGAGCATCCCAGGACACGTGTTAAAAGTTCACCCGCTTCCTGTTTGCAGGCAGAACCCAAGCTGTATAGTCTGTATGGGGTGGTGGTGTTTAGTGAACACTTTCTCAGTTTCTGTAACCAAACCCATGCAAATAAGGCCTTAAATATTTTTTTATTTTTATTGAACTATATATATTTTTTTTCTCTTCCCTTCCTTCCTTTCTCCCTTTTCGCCTTCCACCCTCCACCCTCCCCCTATGCTCCCAGTTCTCTGGAGCTGTGGATGTAATCTAGTTATCCTTTGCTTTACATCATCTATCCACTTATGAGTGAGTACATACCATGTTTGTCATTCTGAGTCTCGGTTACCTTACTCAGGATGTTTTTTCTAGTTCCATCCATTTGCCTACAAATTTCATGATGTCGTTTTTCACAGCTGAGTAGTACTCTACTGTGTAAATGTACCACATTT